GGTTTGGAAGGACACAAGTGAAGGAAAGGCAACAGGTGACAAAGAAGTGAGAAAAAAGTATAAATCACCAAAAAGTAGAAGAAGATAGAAGAGCAGGATAAAAATAAGGGAGAAATTAAATGTGGGGGATAAGATGCAGATGAAGTGTGCAGGACTTGGGCTGCAACAGTGAAAGCATGGATGAGGAGAAAAGAAGGAGGAGGAGGAGGAGGCAAGTGAAGACAAACAGTCTAAATAAACTAGAAGACGAGAAATAGGGTAAAGTGATAAAAACCTGTGGGGAAAACAAGGGGGAGAAAAGCAACCTGCTGCAAGTGTGTCATCCTCCTCAAAACAAGCTGTGATAATATTTTCTTTTTGTTGTTCCCAGAAATATTGTGTGGCAATGAATTTAATCATTTTGCCCTGAATTTCAATTTACTGCTGTAATGCGATGCAACAGCGCTATAAGCACAGTGTCAAAGTGCCTTCCTCCGAGTCTGTTTGATATTCCTCGTGCACAGCAGCCACATACAGGGTTTGTTTTTATTGAAATGTGATTGGGTGGTGTCTCACTTTAGGGCATGACACTCTGCAACTTGAGGATTCACGAGTCAATTTCCTGAAGTGGAATCCAATAACGCTGAAGAAACCGAGGCGAGGTGTTTACGACTCCTTAGGAACATCAGGAGAGCGACGCTGAAAAGGCTGTAAGTCACTCTGAAGATGGAGCCGGAAACGTTTTATGCTGAGAACGGGAGGAAGTATACCCCTGGAAACTGTTCATTCTCCATCGCTGGGAAACTGGCAAAATCTGCTTTTTCTTCCCATGGAGAAACCGACGTCGTCCTCCGGGAATTTAGGCTACAAATATGTTACAAAGTGTAGCTGAAAGTTTGATCAGTCTTCTTAAAAATGTCACAAAAATATAAATCACTTTAGCAGGTTATTGGTATTAGCCAATGCAAGTTTGTGGACTACAGAATAAGGAATAATGGAAGTCCAACAAAAGGACACTTGGAAAGAGAGGTCGGCTGTTTCCTGAGGTTCTGCTTTCAGCTGATATTGATCAGAAAATACAGCCTTCCCAGCAGGAGGCCATAGATGTTCAAATTTCCACATTGGCACAAAAGCTGGGATTAGATTTAACTCTTTATTTTGAAAAAAATCATAGATTGAACCTTTGTATGTCATTTCCATGTTTTGACGCTTGGTTTGGGATTTTGCTGTCTGCAGGAAAAAATGTTTTTTTTTCCAAATGTAATAATACTTGCAAAGTAATTTGCAATTCAAATTACTTTAATTCAGTTCTGTTTTATTTATATAGCACTAAATCAGCAGCTGCCACAAAGTGCTTCATATTGTAAGCTAAAGACAATACAGAGAACACCCCAACAATAAAAAGATTCCCTCTAAGCAAGTACTTGGCACTCTGCTGGGAAAGAAAAACACCCTTTTTACAGGAAAACCTGCAGCAGAAGCAGGGTCTGAGAGGGGCGTCCATCTGCCATAGTCAAGGGGAGGGAGACAGCACAAAAACTGGCACTTACCTGAAACTCAGATGTACTCTTGCATTACATTTTCAGTTTCCACCAAATACAATTTTCACTCGTAACGCACTGTCCTAGTTCAGTTAGCCCTGGTTTGTGACTTTGATGTCTCAGCTCTCCACAAGTCTAATATTTTTTATCACTATAAGTCTTTTCATCTGTCCCACAACTTCACACAAAACATCCTCTGTTTTTTACTGCTGTTGAACGACATGACACAGCAGGCCTGTTAAATTAAAGCGCTGCAGATGTTTAAGAGGTGGATTTGTTTGAACTGTTTAGAGATAGAGTGGCATGCTAATTTGAGCTAATCAGCCATAGAGTGTGATTTAAAATGTTATAAATCTGTGCAACCAGAAGCTTTGTTTCCATCCACAGACCTTAAAATGGGCAGTTAGGTTTACTTTTATTATGCCCACATGAAAGACTCTCATGATTTTGGAAAGCAAGAAGAGAGTCATGGTCTCAATGATCATCTTCAGACTGGAGTATTTACTCCAGGTACATAACACAGAACCCTTATGTAACCCCTCCATCAGGCTGACCATCAATCTTTCATTTAGACTCAGCATCTGCAGGTTTATAGGAAGGGACAGATGTGTCTGCAGATGTGGCTGTGCAGTGGTATAAAAAGTGTTAAATAAAGACAGCCGAAGTGAAATTGTGCTTGGCATTGTCCCCGTTCTGAAGCGACACATGTAACAAAGCTCATGTTTAACTAAGTGAACAGCAGGAACATGAACATCATTCTTGTGACAAGCTAATGGCTGTAGTAAATTCTTTTGTGTCATCGAACCCATTTCTATTTATTTTTCACAGTTTTATTGACTGACTGATTTCAGCTTTCCTAAAAGCACATCCAGTGACTGAGAGCCTAAATGCTTGCAATCTTCCTGGAAACTATTTTAGACTTTGGTTTGTACAGTGAATGTACACATAAAGGAGTCTGCAGTGTAAAAAGTATAATTCATGCGCAGTTGTTCAAGTTGTATAATGAGAAACGACAGTTTCTGGGTGTTCCCTATTTTCCTTGACCTTGTTAAGCAAATATAGATGGTTATACATGTGAATTTATTCTTCAGATGCAAATATTGTCTAAATAATGTGTACATTTTGTTTTTCATATGGTCACTTTGGATATGGACGAGGACGTGTGATGTAGATCTGCGCACCAAGACATCAGCGAACAAGAGCAAGACAAACCAGATACAGCGACAGGTCGCCTTCAAAGTAAAAGCTGCACATTTTGAAACAAGAGGTATACAAGAAATATTACCCTCCTAAGACCCGAACTCTTCCACGGCATGCATTTTTAATTTCTCTTTGATATTTGTTCATATTGGGGCCCAATGAATGTAAAAACAAAGAATTACCAGATTTTTTTTTTTTACCAGATTTTTCTTTTTATGAAAAATCAGAGCCACATATGAGGATATTCATTTAAAATTTTGATAGAACAGTAGCAGTATAATGTCCTCGTAAGTGGATACCAGGCCCTTGTAGAGCAAAATTGAGTATTTGGGTCTAAATAACCCAAAATGTGATGTCCACATATGTGGACGGCAGGTCCTAGGAGGTTAAGCACAGTTCCTATGTTCATCACTTCATGACAAAGTTATTGACCTATGGATGACTGCATGAGTGTATATATAGCAGGTATATGACTTAATCATGTGTTTTTTTTAAATTTCATAAACCTTGTTGGTTCTTAAAATGTTCTCTTCAAATAAATGTTTTCACTTTTTTAAATTTCTTTGCTTGTGTGAATTGTGTCTTTTTTTACATAAATTATCAAGGTATTCATGTGGACACAGAGCATCACATTTACTTCAGTCAGCTGTTATTTGTGCATTAGCTTAATAAAAAAGCGATTAACAAACTAACTCATGAAAGCAAAACTAGACCTGCTGGTTCCCTGACTTTAGACTTGAAATGCTCGTTCTCATCCAAAAGTCAACTGTAGTGGTGTGAGCTGTGAAAACATCAGGGTATAGGGCGTTTTAAAAAAATAAAATAAATAATAATAATTTATAGATTTACACTCTAATAACTATTTTAGAATAAATAAAATGTCCTCCACTGAAACAAGGGTATGATGTCATCATCATCACTGGAGACTGGTGGATAAACGTACAACTACAAAAAAGTTATCACATAGAATTTTGCTATTTAATTTTTTTCATTTTTTCTTAATGGCAATGCATGAGTTTGCCACAAAATATTATTATATATAGTCTTGTGGTTTGTTCAGGGGGAGCTTTGCTAAGCTAAGCTGTGCAGCCATGGTCTCTTTAGAGAGAAGAGGCTTTTCTCCTGGAAACAAACCACACTTGTTCAGTGTTTCTCCAGTTTCCAGTTTTTTATTTAACATCCTAACCTGCAGAGTCTGAGATCAGAA